ATCGGATCTTTATTTTGACAGTACAGTGGTACCTCAGGTTACATACGCTTTGGGTTACATACGCTTCAGGTTACACACTCCGTAAACCCAGAAACTTTGCTTCAGGATGAGAACAAAAATCGGGCTCCGGCGGCAGCAGGAGGCCCCATTAGCTAAAGTGGTGCTTCAGGTTAAGAACAGTTTCAGGTTAAGACCTCCGGAAAGAATTAAGTACGTAACCTGAGGTACCACTGTACTGAGGCTTCTGTCCCATATCTATCTCACACTTAACATCACAGGGCTGGCTACAATAGAAAAGGATGCTGGGTTTAGGCCTGCAGGAAGGCTGGAGGGACAACAGGAAGAGAGGCGCTCGTGGACAATGCAAGGAGCAGACCAGAAGAGCAAGGGGCAGTTTGCTAAACAGATACAGGACACAGGCAGGAAAGTCAAGCAGGGTTTGGGTTGGAACATCCGGCGGCTATTTCAAATCACTGGAACCAGGATGCGTCTCAGCAAGCACATGTGAACAACACGTAAGCAGGGATGAGCTCATGTTGGGATAGGACTATTGATTTATGGTGTGCTGGTCCAACTTACCTGAGGAGAAACACGGCAAGTGAGTGAGCCAATGGGGGGCTGCATTTCAGGCACCCCCACACACCCCAGATTCTGTCAGACCCAGCTTGGTTGGCTGGAAGTAGTAGAGCATGGGTAGGCTAACTAAGGCCCAGGGGCCGGATCTGGCCCAATTGCCTTTTAAATCCAGCCCGCAGACGGTCTGGGAATCAGCATGTTTTTACATGAGTAGAATGTGTCCTTTTATTTAAAAGACATCTCTGGGTTATTTGTGGGGCATAGGAATTCGTTCATCCCCCCCTATAGTCCGGCCCCCCACAAGGTCTGAGGGACAGTGGACCAGCCCCCTGCTGAAAAAGTTTGCTGACCCCTGCAGTAGACCTTCTGCTCTGTTCCTTGTTGCCTAGAAGAGGAAATTTTCACTTTTAGATAGGTAAGCTGTCAGAATATGTGCACCACCCAAGAAGATTAGGATCTTCTACTGGAGTTGAACTGTGTATCTGTTGTGAATATGTGTTTATACCCATAACCTTACACCCACAATAACTTCACACCCCAGAGGATTACAGGTTAGTTTATTACTTGGGATAAAAGTGACAAGACTGCATGCATGCTTTTCCAAGCAGAAAGGTCACAATATAAGTGGGCAGCAAATCACACACCTTGATCCCGAGAGTAAAAAGCACACCTCCCTATTCTGAAAGCCTGGAGAGATGGCTCAGCCTGAATGAATGACATTTGTACTTGCCAATCTTTTTCTCCAAGGAGCTCACGGAGGCGTCCGTGATTCTCTCCCTCCTCCTTTTATCCTCACAACCACCTAGATCAGAAGTGAGGATTTCCGTGTATGATTTTGGGCCAAGGTTACCTTATGGAGAAGGGAGAAGTCTTTTGGGCGGGAGTGTGTCATGGCGCCTTTATTCATTTGCCCCATTGTTTATTTCCTGCAAGTTCTGGTCTATTTGTTATTTTGTTCACCTTGGGCTAGTTTCTAGCTAAATGAACATGAACTGCATAAGAAATGACTGATTGTTTATGTTGTTTGTTTCCAAATTCATAGCTTCACTTTTGCAGGAAGATTCATTCACTGTCTGTGCAGAACTCCATTCTTCCCAACAGGAGGCGATAGTTGAACTTTGCTGGCATGTGGGGTTAGCGTGATATTAGCCATTAAGAGGCCAGGATCTTTGCTTATGCCTTCCAAGTCATATTTAAGGTAAAGTCTGGTACCAGGGTGTTTTGAACCGTAGACCCAGAGGAGGGCTCGTGGGAGTGGCTGGGTGCAGGTATGACAAAGAAGGAGGCCAAAGATGCGAGAATGATCCATTCTAGCGCTTTATTAAGAAATGTATAGGCTTACAGGAAGCCAGGAAGCCAGATCTCCTGGCCTTCTCTTGCAGAGATGCAGGACAGACACTGCAGCAAGGAGATGGTCTGTCCACACCCAAGCAAAAGTGAATACATTCTGCATATGCAAAGCAGCATACATTTCATTGCCTAGGACATCCCATTGCTTCACCTGCCCAGATGAGGGCTTGGGTGGCCAATACCTAATCTTATAGATACTTCCCCTTTGTGGACTCAGAGCCTAGTACCCAAGCCCCAAGCTTGTATCAAAGCAAGCGAATATAAGCATATATGAGCTCTTTGCTACAACAGCTACCAATTAATTGTGGTGTTATCTTGACTACCAAGATGGCATTAGCAGAGTTTCCGGAACCGTTCACCTTTGGTTCAACACATAGGGTTAAAATAGGGGGTCTCTTTTTATATCTATGCCAGTGTCACTGATGCCATGATCTGCAGCATTAAACCATAAAAAAGAAGTTCAGATTGCCACCCATTGTTGCGATGCGCCCTATCCAATGGGGGTGGGGAAAGAGGACACCTTGCTATCCCAAAACCATCTCACTTAAAAAATAAAAAAGAGGTAGTCGGTTTTCACCAACCTCCTTGCCATCCCACCTCTTGCCTTGCTTTCACATTCAGACATGCTTCTAGATCACAGATTTGTAGAAACAGAGCATCTGCATAAGATACAAGTTGAGAGAAGCAAAGAGAACGCAAAATCGAAGCTACAACTGGGTGCAAAATTTAGCGCAGATGAGAGAAAGGATGATGGTGCTAAGAAGGGGCGTGACGGCTTTTTACTTTTGTCAGGCGCTGCTGGTGGTTGCTCGTGAGTAACCAGGCAGGACTCCGACCTGTCTTTAGGTTAATGTTTAATAGGTTATTGTATTTTACTGTTTTACTGGAAGCCGCCCAGAGTGGCTGGGGAAACCCAGCCAGATGGGCGGGGTATAAATAATAAATAATAAATTATTATTATTATTATTATTACTACTACAGGTTTTATTGGAGCAAACTATTTGCAGTGCAGAACCACAAAGTTCATGTCCGTCTTAGTCAGTTGCAGATTCCGGGAGTGGCCCCTTCCGGTTTCTCCCCCAACGTAAGTACTTAGACACCACAAATCTCCCCTCCTTACATTTCACCCCTTTGTGCAGGCTGGGTGATAGAAACGGCTTCCTGGCTAGTCGAACTTGGGCTCTCAGTAGCATCCTCAAGCCCTCCTCTTGCTCGGCTGCCCCCTTCGCCCTCTGCTCCACTGGAGGTGTGGCTTTCCCCACCGCTGGACAAGGCGCTGAGTCTGAGGCTCTCTGTATCCCCCTGCCTCCTAGCCCTGTTCCGAGCTTTCCGTGAAAAAAAACAACAAGGCTTCATTGGGGGAATGTAATAGCCATCCACTACTGCCTTTGGTGGTGGGTGAAGTTTGATGCTGCTTTGCAACACCCTCATCCTACGCCAGGATGGCTCCCCGTCTTCACTTGGGCCTTGCTCTGGGAAGATGTACTTATGGAAGTTGGGATGACAGCCTTCCATGTGCCTTTTGTGTTCAAAGAGGATATGACGGACACCTTGAGGGTAGTCGTAAATAGTGCGTGAAACCTGGAGAGGAGAGAGAAAGGGAGGAGGCTGCTGGGTCTGGGGAAGGATGCAGAGAAGAAACTACCCCTTCCAGGATGCAACCTCTCCCCCCACAGCGGTGGCTGGAGGGGCGGAAGGGGGGAAGCCAACAGTAGGGGGAGCCAGAGACAAGGAGAGACAGAGGCAGACTAGTTTTGTCCCCATTCTCCTCTTGCCGGATGTTAAGCAAGAGGAAGCTCACAGGTAGTCAACCAGGTGAGCTGCTTGTCAGTAAGACACTTTGAGGTTTTCTACAATCTAGCAGGGGTCAGTAAACTTTTTCAGCAGGGGTCCAGTCCACTGTCCCTCAGACCTTGTCAGGGGCCGGACTATATTTTGCGGGGGGAAAGAACGAATTACTATGCCCCATAAATAACCCAGAGATGCATTTTAAATAAAAGGACACATTCTACTCATGTAAAAACACGCTGATTACCGGATCATCGGCGGGCCAGATTGAGAAGGTGATTGGGCCAGATCTGGCCCCCAGGCCTTAGTTTGCCTACCCATGATCTAGTGGTATAAAGTGGTACCTCGGGTTACAGATGCTTCGGGTTACGCATTTTCAGGTTACAGGTGTGCAAAAACCTGCAAGTACCGGAACGGGTTACTTCCGGGTTTCGGCGCTCACGCATGCGCAGAACCACCAAATCACGTCATGCGCTGACGCAGATGCGGCGCTGCGGGTTACGAACACGGATCACGTTCGCAACCCAAGATTCCACTGTATATCTTTTATGAAATATTTACACAAGAAGGCCTGCACATCGTAGCAGACGGAGGTTGGTGGGACCCCTTTCACCCCCATAGACAACCCTCCACGAATTTAACAAAGCTTGCATTTTCTACTCAGGCTCAGCTTACCGGAAACCACGTTGATACACGAGGTTCTTCATATTGATGTTCTTTAAGGACTTCAGAGTCTGCAGACAACAGCTTCACGGTCAGTTTATAGCATGAATCATACCCACTTGAAAAGCTGTTTTTTGGGGGGGGGGAGGAAGAGAGAGAAATTATATGAGCCTGGGACAAATTGAGGTCCAGCTGGGCACGTCAGCCGCCACTGTTTCTTCCACTACAACATGGTGATTGAGAGAGATCTTGGCAGTGCTTTTTCTCCTAAAAAAATGTTTAGGGGTACTCTCATTTTGACTCAATAAAATCACCATGTTATACTTCAAATGGGGAAAGTTAAATACAGTAAATGGACAAAAGTACAAAGAAAGAGGATGTAAAATTTTGAGCTTTTTTTTAGAGGAATCACAGTTGTTCAGCTTCTTTGGGGGGAGCCAATGATCTACCAGTGATCTACCACAGATGTCCAGTGATCTACCAGTAGATCACGATCTACCTGTTGGACATGCCTGCTCTAGACAACTCCCCCTGGGGCTGAAGTCTAGGTCCAAGCAGACCTTCCCCTGTGCCTCCAATTCACTGACCACATCTATTCTTGGGATATCACACATGCTGAGAACTTAGTTTGGGGTGTCCACCCTCCCTGAGCCCCAGCCGGGACAGGACACTTGGCACTCACCAGTCCTTCACCTCAATCGTGGGTCTGGCTTCATCCATCAGTTCGTCCCAGTAGCCCTCGTCCTTCAAGGTGATGAGCTGAGACTTGCTGCAGGGCCTGAGACATTAAGGGACACCATCACTACCCCACATTACCATCACTACCCCACCACATTGGGGGATGCGGGTGGTGCTGTGGTCTAAACAACTGAGCCTCTTGGGCATGCCCATCAGAAGGCTGGCGGTTCGAATCCCCATGACAGGGTGAGGTCCCATTGCTCTGTCCCAGCTCCTGCCAACCTAGCAGTTTGAAAGCATGCCAGTGCAGGTAGATAAATAGGTACCGCAGCGGCGGGAAGGTAAACAGTGTTTCTGTGTGCTTTGGTTTCCGTCACGTGTCCCGTTGTGCCAGAAGCGGTCTAGTCCTGCTGGCCGCATGACCCGGAAAGCTGTGGAAAAACGCCGGCTCCCTCGGCCTGAAAGCCAGATGAGCGCAGCAACCCCATTGTCGCCTTTCACTGGACGTAACCATCCAAGGGTCCTTGACCTTTACCTTTTACCCACAGCATTTGGACCACGTGTTCTGAAAGGCTCAGCAGCTGGCTATTGTGGGCCACCTCCAGCTCCCTGGAAAGAAAGTTTGCCCCCTCTTATGCAGAGGCAAGGAATGATGGTCTGCTAGCAACCTTTTTAAGGGAAAGCCACTGGGGGCCTGGCCCTCATCACTCCCCACAACACACATTTCTTTAGTCCATTGATGGGATTTGGTGATGCAAATTGCTCCACCTTTTTGTGACCATTACATTTTAATGAGTTATATTTATTGAGCGGGGGGCTCTCCTTATGCAGAATACAGTGTGAAGCACAAGAACCCGCACAAGGGCAAATGAAAACTCCCTTTCCTCATCTTTAAAAACATCTTGAAGGTCCCAGGCCACAAAGAGGTTAGGCTGGCCTCAACCAGAGCCAGGACTTTTTCGGTTGTAGCTCCGATCTGGTGGAACGCTCTGTCACAAGAGACCAGGGCCCTGCGGGACTTGACATCTTTCCGCAGGGCCTGCAAGACAGAGCTGTTCCACCAGGCCTTTGGCCAGGGCACAGTCTGACCCCCTCCTTCGGTAATCCTCACAGAATTCTAGCCCAACAGTTGCCATTAATTCGATTTTGAATTGATTTTAGAATAAATTGATTTTAGAATGTTTTATCGTTTTACTATTGTTAGCCGCTCTGAGCCCGGCTTTGACTGGGGAGGGCGGGATATAAATAAAATTTATTATTATTATTATTATTATTATTATTAAGTGGATTTGAGTTCAGACAATGATAGCTTCCTCACCCATTACGTGCAGCAAAGCAGTAGAGCTGAACAGGAGCATCTTCAACATTCTTCCCAAAATTGCTCATTTTATAAGGGCTGAGCATCTCACCGACGCTTTTTGAGTCTTCTACGGACAGTTCCTCAGTTTCCCAGTGGCCCTTGGCAGGTGTCTGGATTTCCCAGGAGTCCAGGCCATCTGACGCAGTGTGTGTGATGGGGAGACAGAAAATGAAGGGAGAGGCTTTGAGTGCATGGAAGCAGCCCATGGGTTAGAAAGAAAACAAGAATGACTTAGGCCACTTTCAGACTGTCCCTGTTTCCAAGAGGAACTCAATTGCATAATGGCAGCTTCAGGGTCTCAGATTTAGGCTGGTTTTGTGATGGTGTGCAAGCAACCTGCATCACAACAAAATCAGACTTCTTGACGCAATGCCATAAAACCTCCCCACAAATGAATTGTCTCGATAAATAGCCAGTATCCTTAAATGTGGGGCAAACAATCAGGAAGAAGGGGCAAAAAACAGGCAGTTGGGAAATGACCATAGTTCAATTATCACCCTTAGTTTGCGTGATTAAGTAGTAGACACCCAGAAGTTAACTGACATTATTATATTGGGTCCATTAATTCCAACAGATCTACTCTGAGGAGCAGGTGTAGGGAAACTTTGGCCCTCCAGATATTGCTAATCCTTTCTTGATTGTTGGGGTAGATGGGAGTTGTAGTTCAGCAACCTCTAGGTTCTCACACCTGGAAAAACAAGGTTTTTGGCTATTTAGAATATGTAATTATGTATACTGTATTTTTCGCTCTATAAGACGCACCAGACCACAAGATGCACCTAGTTTTTGGAGGAGGAAAACAAGAAAAAATATATTCTGAATCTCAGAAGCCACAACAGCAAGAGGGATCGCTGCGCAGTGAAAGCAGCAATCCCTCTTGCTGCTCTGGCTTCTGGGATAGCTGCACAGCCTGCATTCACTCCATAAGACGCACATACATTTCCCCTTACTTTTTAGGAGGGGAAAAGTGAGTCTTATAGAGCAAAAAATACGGTATGTAATCTCTGCCACTTCTGCTTCTTCTGCCTCCTAGCAGGCCTGCTGGCGGTCTGTCTGTCCCAGATTATTTGTATTCACTATGACTCATCGCCGTACTTTGGACTGTCCTGAATACCACCATATGGTAAAGGTAAAGGGACCCCTGACCATTAGGTCCAGTTGTGGACGACTCTGGGATTGCGGCGCTCATCTCGCTTTATTGGCCGAGGGAGCCGGCGTACAGCTTCCGTGTCATGTGGCCAGCATGGCTAAGCCGCTTCTGGCGAACCAGAGCAGCACATGGAAACGCCGTTTACCTTCCCACCGGAGCGGTACCTGTTTATCTACTTGTACTTTTAATGTGCTTTCGAACTGCTAGGTTGGCAGGAGCAGGGACCAAGCAACGGGAGCTCACCCCATCATCATCATCATCATCATCATCATCATCATCAATTTTATTTATATCCCGCCCTCCCCAGCCGAAGCCGGGCTCAGGGCGGCTAACAACAATAAAATAGTATAACATCAATAGTACAATATCATAGGTATTCAAACCGCCAACCTTCTGATCTTCAAGCCCTAGGTTCTGTGGTTTAACCCACAGCGCCACCCACATCCCGTTCACCATATGGTAGCCAAGCCCAAAGCCCACAGTCCTGTTGGGATGCATTTTGGCTTGCCTGCTGATGAAACTGAGTGTGTGATGATTGATAATATTGTCATTTATCTGTTTCAGACCCCTACGTAGTAGCAGTTGCCAGGACATTGTCCTGTTCGCCTCTGTATAGTTCCATCCTCATTTCAGACATTGTGGTAGGTTGCAATGTTTAGCTGGTGATATTGTCAGGTTTAGCTGCTGATAACATTGCAGTGTTTAGCTGGTGAGTTATTCCGATGTTGAAAACCAGCTCAAATATTATGAAAAAAATATCATCAGGTGAACTTCAAACCGGTCTTGGATGATATATTGCCCAGCCCGAGTGTAGACATTACTGTGCTAGATGAACCAATATTGGGACTCAGTGTACAGCAGCTTCCTATGTTCCTAAAGGCTTTATTATTCAGATTTCTGTCCAGGAGCATTTTATTCTACCAGATAAATGGAGACATACCTTGGCCATCAGGGTTCTTGATTAAGTTCTTCTTTAGGCGGGAGAAAATGTAGAAAGCCAATGGCTTTGGAGAAGAGTCATGGTCCCTTTTCCGGAACTTGCGCTTCCACAGGACCGGCAGGTCTACCAAGTCCCGCCACTGAGAGCAGACCAGCTGGCAATTGCAAATGAGGTCTCTTGCTGGAACCAGAGACAAGATATCCAACAGAAGGTTTTCGGGCAAATTTTCCATCCCAAGACTTTCCGTGGCTCAGGAGAGTTAGCATCTGTGTCAAATGACCAACGATACTCAAGGGCTGCCCAACATCCTCCTATAAGGACGATCGGAGGCTGGCAGACTCCACACACGCCCATCTCCCATGGATTTGCCCTGCAATTTAGGGTGGGAGTCACAAGACCAGGAGAACGCAAGCACAGAGGAAATAGAATGGCAATAAAATCTGCAATGAAAATACTGGCTTGTAGTTTAAAGGTGAATTTTGGACATAATGGAGATGTAAAAGATCTGGATGATCATAAAAGATGCAGGAGGAAATGATTTAAAAATAGGACCTACAAAGGGGAGGAGGGAAGTCCCGGAGATTCTCTGGAATTTTGTTTTTATGTTGTATGTTGGATATGTGATTGTAAAACTTTGATCTGAAAAACCAAAGAATTTTTTTTTAAAAGGAAATACTGGCTTGAAAAAGAAGGGGCGGGGAAATATCTCCTTGCTTTGGGATCAATATTGCAAAGGGTACAACACTGCCAGCCTCTTTATAGGACTGGATAACAGCCCCCGATTAACCGGTATTTACAACATCGAGGCATCAAGCAACAGTCATAGAAAAGTAAGTTATGTAAAACTAAGCCAATGCGTGCGTGCACACACACACACACACACACACACACACACACACACACACACACACACACACATATTTTGAGAGCCAGTGTGGTGGAATGGTAAGTGTTGAATCAGGGCTGAATCTAGACACATCAGAGAAGTGTTTCAGTTAAACACATTGTAAACTTTGTATGAAAAATCGGGTTGGCAAAAGTGGAACTCCACAGCACCATCTGGTGTCACAGTGTTATAATACAGTGTTATATACAGTATAAACAATGCATATACTGTAAAGCGCTTTTTCTTTGCCAATGTAGCTGAGTCCCAAGGTTCAAATCCCCACACAGCCACAAAGCTCACTGTGTGTGACAAGTTTTTGTTGGCCAGAGTCAGTCCACTTTTTGAATTATGCTTAGTTAGGAGGCACAGTTGAAAAGAATGGGCACAGCAGATCCTATGGGCAAACCTTTGGGTAGTAGCCAATGCTGGTCCTACACAGAGTAGACCCATTGAAATCCCTGACCATGATTGACATAGATCTATTAATGCCTAAGATTTGTAGAATTGTAGAGTTAGAAGGTTCATCTAGCCCAACCCCCTGCTATGCAATGGGTCTACGTCGAGAAAAACCTAGTTGTATCCAACCATGTCAATTTCGCTTTCTTTCGGGTTCTCATTTTTTCAAGTTCTCCACATTTTCAGATCAGGATGTGTGTGTGTGTGTGTGTGTGTGTGTGTGTGTGTCTGTCCTCATGAAAATTCATCTGCACACAGAATCCGGACACAAAAGTTGTTGGGCTTTTTTTTTTTTTTTTTTTTGCTGTTGTTGTTGCAAAATCTCAAGAATAAATAAAGGGGTCTCTTCTCATATTCTTCTGCTGAAAATGAGTGAATTGGTGGTCTGATCTACAGCCCAGCCATACCCAGATGTATGCAACTCTCCATATGCTCAGAATCCCATCCTCCTCAGATACTTGCCATTTGATTTCCCTTTGGATGACTAGAGTCATCATCCTTATGGGCAAGAAGGGATACTTTCCAGTGTTCAGGCATATCCTGTTGGACATAAATTAAACAGAAAAGAAAAGGATGAAAAGGATCTAGGGGTCTTAGTAGACCCCAAGCTTAACACGAGTCAAAGGGCCATGCAGCAGCAAATAATGCTAATGCGATTCTAGGCTGCATCAACAGAAGTCTAGTGTCCAGGGCAAGGGAAATAACAGTATTGCTCTGTTCTGCATTGGTCAGACCACACCTGGAATTCTGTGTCCTGTTCTGGGTGCCACAATTTAAGACTATTAACTAGTTGGAATATGTGCAGAGGAGGGTGATTGAGATTATCAAGTGTATGGAAACCAAACCTTATGAGGAATGTTTGAGGGAGTTGGTTATGTTTAGCCTGGGAAAGAGGGGCCTGAGATAAGAGTAGATAGCCATCTTCAAATATCTTAAGGGCTGTCACACAGAAGATGGAGTAAGCTTGTTTTCTGCAGAGGTAGGATGGCCACCAGTCAGGGATTCGTTAATTGCATTGCAGTGGTTTGGACAAGTGATTTTCAGAGGCAATATGACATATATTTCTTTTTTAAAAATCTATTGAATGAAGACTTCCTTTTTCTGAACTTCTGTCATGTTTAACCAAAGGGTGTAATTCTTGATCAGATGTGACTTCAGTTTAGAAATGAACTGAGCGATACGTTTTAGAATTCTTTGGAAATGCATTTATTTTAAGACAATTGGCTTTGCAGAGAACAGCCATCCCTTGCTCTGCAAAATCCTCATGGGAAGGGGAGAGAACGTGTTGTGGTCCTGTGTATGTTTACTCAGACGTAATCCCTGCTGCGTCCAGTAGGACTTACCCCGAAGTAAGAGTGCACCCAATGCCAGCCCTACTAGGAGTAGACTCACTGGAGCTAATGAACAAAAAATCATGGAATTATAGAGCTGGAAGTGACCCTAAGGCTCACCCAGTCCAACCCCCTGCAATGCATGACTAACATGCCCCTTTCTTTCAGTGGGTCTCCTCTGAGTAGGTTTCAGTTGCATGCAACCTTTAAAATACTTGTTCTGCCAAAAAATTCTGCCCATCTACCCCATCCCTGCCAATCTTTCACATAATTTTGTGGTTTGGGTAAGTTTAGTGCATCATGTTTAAGTGGGGTTTTTGACCCAAGTCGATTCTCATTTTTGAAGTCCAACATGCTGGAGAAGATGGTGTTCTTTTGAAACCTTCAGGCATCTTCTCTGCCCAGAAGTACTGAAGAAATAAGAGTGTGGCGAAGGGGCCCGGAGGCTCCCCCCACCAATTTCAAGGTGTTGTGTCCCACCAGTGGAAGGAGAAGGGTTCTCGGAGGACGTTGGTGCCGCAGTGGACCTCGCCAGACAAGATGTGGTAGGAGAAAAAGTCATCGATGAAGGTACAGTTCAGCCCCAGCGGTTCCAGCAAGGAGCGGACTTTCTCTTCCAGGCAGCACTGCCCATGGATGATGGGGCCAAATGGCTTTGGGATGCCCAGGTGCTTCCCCAAGACGAGCATGTTCACCTAGGCAGAGCAAAAACAACCAAAAGCAACAGTCAGGGTTGGTTTTTCTGCCATCCTAGCTAAAGTTCAGCATGTAGAAAGCTGTCTTCTACTGAGTCTAACCATCCATCCAGCCTACAGTTCACTACACTGACTGGCAGCAGCGCCTTTCCAAGGTTTCAGACAGAGGGTCTCTCCCGCTCTTAGTCAGAGATGCCATTGGGATGGAATCTAGGGCCTTCTGCAGGAAAGGCAGGTGCTCCACCACTGAGTTATGCCTCCGCTTAAAAGTAAAATAAGTTTCCAGTCCTCATGGGTCTGAAGTGAGGACTGGTTTCAAAAGGAGCACAGGGAGCTGTCTTGCACTGAGTCAAATCATTTGGCTCAGTATTGTCTACATTGACCCGCAGTGGTTCTCCAGGATTTTGGTGCAGGCAGCCTCTCCCAGCCCTACCTGGAGATGCCATTGAACCTGGGACCTTCTGCTTGCAAGGCAGCTGCTCAGCCACTGAGCTATGGCCCCTCCCCATCTAGCTCAGTGCTGCCTACACTGACTGGCAGCAGCTCTCTGGGGGTTACTGCTCCGGAAGCCAATTTCCAGAGAAAAGGTTTGAGCTGCACTGGACACCTCTGCACAAACGCCAAGGAAAGACCCTCACCATGTCTGGAAACAAGGCGGTCGCTGTAGAGTCTTCCAGAGTGAACAGCTGAGGGATGTCCACGATATCTCTCTCGCTCAGGCCCAGCTCCCGCTTCAAAATGCTCCGGTTCCAGTCGATGCAACTCTGGAAGAAAGAAGACGATGCAAAATATTCCCCATGGGCTGTAAAGCCCGCTTTGTTTCATGTTGAATATTTGCACCTGAAGACAGCAAAGCTGTCATGCATTTTTAAGCTCAGGATAGCAAGTAACAGGTTTTTTTAAAAACAACAACCACAAGTTCCTGAGATATTAAATAATCACAGGCCCCTCCAGATTAGTGTTTTATTGTGTGCATATTTTGCAACATGCTCTTGACACAATAATATTGCATTACTGGTGGATTTATTCTGCATCATCATCATCATCATCATTTCTTCTGTCCCACCTTTGCTTCAAGGAGATCAAGGTAGCAAACATGCTTCCCCTCCTCCCCATTATATCCCCACAACACTGCAAGTTAGGTCTGGCCCAGAGGCAGTGACTGGCCCCCAAGGCCACCCCATGAGCTTAATGGCTGAGTGGGGGGTTTGAACCCGGGTCTCTCCCAGTCTGACACTCTAGCCACTATACTACACTGGCTTTATTAGCTGTTCTACAATGTTTCCCCAACTGCTACCACATTATTGTTGTCCAAGGGGCTCTAGGGTGAAAATATACCCAGAATGCTTGTGGCATAAAAAGCTGTAAATTATGGGATATGCATGGATTGGAAACGAAGCCCCCAAAACACAGCAAGGTGCAAATGCAATGGAGACTGGGATTGCTTATGACTGCCCCAATACCATCACAAGTCCAAACCATCACAAATGCACAATAAAATGGATCTTCCAAAGGGGCCCTTAGTGCTACTTCAGGGTAGTTTTTTGTTGTTGTTTTTGCCTCGCATCAGTCTTGTTCACACAACCACCGTAAATAGTTTCCTGGGACAGCGTTTTCCTGATCAATTTGACTCTGCAGGCCTTGTGCCAGGAGGAAAGAAAACTCAAAACCCAGGTTGGTGAACCGATAGCAACTAGACTTGATTCCAGTAAGCCATGATTTGCAGCCGAGATTCGCCCCCATTTAACAAACCAGTCCATATGAGGAAAGCTTGAAGGAGCTGGGTCTGTTTAGCCTGGAAAAGAGGAGAGTGAGAGGAGACTGGATAGCCATCTTCCGATATCTGAAGGGCTGTCACATGACAGATGGAGCAAGCTTGTTTTCTCCCGCTCTGGAGGGTAGGACTCGAACCCATGGCTTCAAGTTACAAGAAAGGAGATTCTGACCAAACATCAGGAATAACTTCCTGGCAGTAAGAGCTGTTTTGACAGCAGAGCGGACTCCCTCAGGAGATGGTGGACTCTCTTTCCTTGGAGGTTTTTAAGCAGAGCTTGGATGGCCATCTGCATTGAGATTCCTGCATTGCAGGGGGTTGGACTAGATGACCATTGGGGTCCCTTCCAATTCTACGCTTTTATGCTAGATGTAATGTTACGCCAAGGAGCAGGGTTTGTTTCCTTCAGTTGGGAAGGATCGAAAGAGCCCTCAGAGGCAAACTGTTAGCTGTGGTTCCCCATGATGTGGGAACTGTACCTTTAGCAAGCAAGAGCTTTCGCTCTGGTTTTCGCCTCAGGGTAGTGTTCACGTATAAATGCAGCCATGCAGATCTAGGGCACAGCCGCATTTGAAATACTGTGTACCATTCTTGTCGCCTCACCTCAAAAAAGATATTGGGAAAAGTCCAGAAAAGGGCAACCCAAATGACCAGGGGAAAAGCCGAGCGAAAGGCAACATGAGAGTTTATAAAACTACATGTGGTGCAGAGAAAGTGGAGGGAGGGAAGCTTGTTCTCCTTCTCTTGGGACACCAGACGTTGTGCACATCCATGTTGGAAGATTCGGGACAGATGAAATCGAGTTAAACTGTGGAACTCACTGCCACAGTTTGGAGTGATGGCCACCCGCTTTAAAAAGACAGACTTATGGAGGAGAGGGCTATTGATAGCTGTTGGCCACAATGGCTCTTCTGCTCTGCCTCCGCCTGTTGCCGAATACCAGTTTCTAGGAATCATGAGTGGGGACTTTTGCTGTTGCGCTCGGCTCCTTTTTGTGGGGTTCCCACAAAATGGGCCCCTGGTTGGCCGCTGTGAGACCAGGACGCTGGGCTGGGTGGATCACTGGCCTGACCCAGCAGGTTCTCTCTTTTTTTTTTTTTAATAATATTTATTAAAGTTTCACAAAAAAGGAATCCCATTAATAAGAAAGAAAAATTTAAGAATAAAAAAGAAAAATACACAATACAAAAATACAAAAAGATAAAAGAAAAAAACAGTTAAAAACAATTCCGTCTTTTCATAACTTCTTTTACATTTACTTGTTTCCCGGACCTCCTCATACCTCCCTCTTTTGTATTCCAATTCAGTTTGTTAGTCCAGCAATTTCTTTCCCTCCTTTTTAATCCCAATCCTTAATCTTAATATATTATAACATTAAGTTTTTACCTATTAAAAACCAATTTTTCCATCCTTTAAGCCTTTTTTAGTCCTAATCCTTAATCTTGATATATTTATAACTTTGAAACCTGTACAGCTAGAAGCCACTTAACTTCTCCTCATGGTCTTTACTATAGTCTACCACAGCTACAGCCAACATGGCGTCCTGCAGGTAGCCGCCAACTCCCCTCATCCCCAGCCATCAGGGCCCAAGGGTTGTCAATGAGGGGAGTTGTAGTCCCTCAGCACCAGGAGGGCGCCATCTTGGCTACCCCCTTTCTGAAAAATAAAGCAAAGTAAATAACTTTAATTGACTGTGGTGGTAGAAATTGCCACAACCGTCTTGTTCATTTAAAACAGCCTCATGAACTGAAGCACTTTGTAATTCTCCCATTTTACTTCATGATTGTTGTTTAGGTCAGGAGAGCAATCTATGCCCCCTATCCATGTCTGAGGTAAAAAAACGAAAAACCTTAGCCGTGCCTTTTTATTTTATCTCCAGATGACCTCAGTTTAGCTAACCACAGTTGTTCTTTCATAATCACTGGGGAATTTGGTGTGGTTAGGAGATAAATGACCATAAATGTCTGGCTCGGCATCACATTTTACCTCAAATTTTACCTCAGAGTGTTATAGCACAGATCACGCTTAACAGCACTTCCCTTGTCAGTCAGCGAGAAATAAATCCACATCTTCCTCTTTCCTTATTGCGATTATCTCCCAGAAGATTATAAAGAGGTGGTGAGCTTTTATTTTAAAAGGATCGGGTTGTGTTTTTTAAAAAAACACACATGTTTTTGTTAGCGGGTAAAAGGAAGTGCTTTGTCGTGGCGAAGGGGCTTGAATAACTCCAAGAAGCCATGAGCTATGCCGTGCAGGGCCACCCAAGATAGACAGGTCATAGCCGAGAGTTTAGACTAAATGTGATCCACCTGAAGAAGGAACTGGCAATCCACTCCAGTATATTGCCAAGAAAACTCCATAGACATAAAAAGGAGAAGTTTCCAAGGTTTATGGGGTCACGGAGAGTTGAACATGACTAAGATGACTGAACAGCAAAAGGAAGGGATCTTGATCCATGTCAACTAAGCGATTGTTCATAACTGACTTCTTAAAATCCAAGAGGCGATAGGAGTGTGACTGGTGTCTTAGGCTACATTGCTATTGGGGTTTGTGATTCTTAGTGTGAAATTTGGCCTCCGTGAAAAGGAAATGTGTGTTTTGCAAAGTGACTGTTTTCTGTCAGCCTAACTAATGAATGGGGGATTATTCTTTAAAGAAGAATCTGCTTTATTCGCACTTTCCGAAACAAGACAGGAACCGAAATGCAGCCCCCTTTCCAAATTTGCATTTCTCCATATTTTGCAATGTACATCTCCAGCCATGTGTACCAAAAAAAATGCATATGCTGAGGTAAAGTGTGCGTAAAACTGCATACGATAATGAAGATGGCATTCAAAAGTAGGGAACCCTGCTTGTGGGTTTTCCTTTGGGGCTTCTGGTCAGAGATTGTGAGAAGAGGAAGTTGTTTGGCCTGTCCCTATGTTCTTATGACATTTAAATAAACGTGGAAAAATAAACATATTGGGGATATTTAAATATTAGGGAACATAGGCTTTGCAAAAAAAGTGGGGGGACTGCATGAATAAATGTATATATTAGGAGAAATCCACACTGAACTGCTGCTGAAATTTTCATGAAGGCTTTTTAAAGACGCACATCACACTTGGCACACTGATGTGGCAATGCAGAGAACTGAAAACTGGAAAAATGAAAGAAACTGAGATGGACAGTTTCAGCCATCCCTAGGCCTAATAGCCTTCGTCGATCTGGTGTCCTCCAGATAGTGTTGAAGCACTCCAGCTCCCATCAGCCGCAGACAGCGTGGTCAGGGAGGAGGAAGATGGGAGTTGTAGTCTGGGCTCAGCCACAGGTTGGCCAGCCCAGCATTAAAATAAGGCAGAGGGGGAATGGAGGGAGCCAGGGGCAGTGAAGGCAAGTGAGGGTCTAGTTCAGGGATGGGGGAACTCATGGCCCTCCAAATGTGGTTTGACCCCAACACCTACCAGCCCCGGCCAGCAAGGCCAAAGGCTCAGATGGATGCCAGACATTCAAAGCACTACGATGCCATTTGAAACAGTCACGGCTTCTGGGAGCTGTCATTTGTGAAAGTTTCTGAGAAGTGTTATGAGGCCTACTTGGGGCTGAAAAATAACAGAAAGTCTGTCTTTGGATGCAGAAAGATCCTGGTGGCAAGGTCTAGGAGTGCAGAAAGGAGATTACTAAAAAGGGAGACAGACATTTACCTAAGCGAGTTGGACCACAGAAACCATTTGCCAGGGGAAGTTGTGGTACATTGTTTACTTGATGACAGAAATGAAACAAAATGTGTTTCTCTTCCAGGGAAGATGTATTGCAGATCTAACGCAGGGTGTGACTTCAGAGAGATGCCAGGGCTCAACCCAGATACGATTGCTCAATTTCACTATTAACGGGAACAGAAATGGCCAGGTTTTGCCTATTTGTCCCACCTCTGGAACGGAAATCAATCTAGCAAGCACAATAGGTATTTATGTTGCTTTCCATCTGCAAATGATACATAATTGATTGCTCCCTTTCCCCTCCTTTGCATTGTGTTTCCTTTGCACTGAAATGATGGGGTGGAAGAACATAGCAACAATACAATCATGTGATTAGTTATGGATATTATATAATTGTGCCATGGCGGACAGCAGGACAAATAATGTAGTTTTTTTGCAAAAGGTGAACTGAGGTGGAATGGAAACCGCACTGCAAATTCAGGGTGGGGTGGGATGGAAACGGTCCAGATCCACCTGCACTCTGATAACGGTTTACCTGCACATACTTGCTGTCACGGTGCAAAAGTCTGTCTGCCAGGAGCTCATCCAGAGTAATGCGCCCCACTCTCCTGAGACCTGCAAGGGAAATGGTTTCCACAAATTTTAAAACATGCTGGCTTTCGTGAGCCCCGTCAGGAAGGGAGCAGTAACAGCATGTTGCAGGTTCAAATCCTGTATGGGGCAGCTGCATATTCTGGCATTGCAGGGGGTTGGGCTAGATGATCCTCAGGGTCCCTTCCAACTTTACCATTCTTTGATTCTGTCCTCACCTTCAAACAGAGCAGCATTTCCGAAACCTTCTTTTTGCTTCTCTCTAAACAGCTTCAGGCAAGCAGCGGGACTGGCTAAGAGCAACCGGAAACCCTGCAGGAAGAGAAATGAGAAAGGTAAACTGCCGGGCAGAATTTGGGTCCTCCATTTAGGTGCCCATTGTGGGAAGCCCACAAGCAGGACAGCAACTCTCCTCACCTGTGATTCCTGTGATTCAGAGGCATACCGACTCCAACAGCAGAGGTAACACACTGTGACTAGTAACCACTGATGGCTTCGCCCTCCCTGAATTTGTCCAATCCCCCTGTAAAGCTTTTCTGGGAGGCTGCAGCCCTCCCACAGAGACTGGGGACAGGGATAGGGCTCCGTGAGAGAAGCCAGCAGAGTGACTTTTCCAGTGCAGAGCTAATAAGGTATAAAGTATCAAATATGGAAAAGGAAGCCGGTCAAAGCACTTCCCTGAGGATCATTACCTTCCTGTTGGAAGCCGGAACAAAGGTCAGGAACTCATCCACATGCCCTACAGTGAGCCAGTCAGAATAGAGCTCAATAGGGGGTTGGACTCTTTGAGCATAGAGGAAATCCCGGACAATTTTGACCATTTTCCTGTTGCCAGACCTAAGAGATGAGGCAGGGGTTTTTTTAAAAGAAAGGGAGGGATGGAGGGAAGGAGAGAGAAAAAGAGAGAGAATAGAAGGTGGGATTAGAACTAGTGATGGGGGAAAATAAATTCAGTTTGCATTTGATTCTCACATGATTTGAGCTTTCCAAACCAAAACACAGCCACCTTCTGAAATTCGCATTTCTTTTTAATTTTGCAACACTGTTCTCTGGTCAAACAATGTGTACAGAAATGCATATACTATGGTAATGCATGCATATAAATGCATCTAATAGTGAAATAAATTACAAAAATTCATTGTGTTAGAAAAAGCATCCCTGCTTGAAACCCTGGAGAGCTGCTGCCAGTCAGGGACCTGGCTCAGTAAGAGGCAGTTTCCTATGCTCTCATGAGTAGCCCGATGCATCTTTGCAGTATCTGGTGGTGAGGAACTCATTGAGAACCAGAAGCCAGCATTGCCTTCCCAGCAAACATCTTCCCAGCTGCCTCTGTCTGAGTTGGGAGGTGCTTGGGTCTCTAGGTGGCCTCATACCATGAGATCCTCCTACATTAAAGTTTTCTTATTAACCAAGCGAGGGATGCGGGTGGCGCTGTGGGTTAAACCACAGAGCCTAGGACTTGCCGATCTGAAGGTCGCAGTTCAAATCCCACGATGGGGTGAGCTGCCGTTGTTCGATCGCTGCTCCTGCCAACCTAGCAGTTTGAAAGCACATCAAAGTGCAAGTAGATAAATAGGTACCACTCTGGCGGGAAGGTAAACGGCGTTTCCGTGCACTGCTCTGGTTCGCCAGAAGCGGCTTAGTCATGCTGGCCACATGACCCGGAAGCTGTCTGCGGACAAACTCCGGCTCCCACGGCCAATAAAGCGAGATGGGCGCCGCAACCCCAGAGTCGGTCATGACTGGACCTAATGGTCAGGGGTCCCTTTACCTTTATTAACCAAGCACAGAACAGCACAGGAAAGCTTTTGTTAGCCTCATGACAACCTACTCCTAGTACTTGCCTCCCCCAAAACAATTGCTAGACCAGGTTTTCCCAGACAAAATATCTGAATGGTATCCAGCAACAAGGCACTGACTTTCTGATTCATCCCCTGATGAAGACTTGGATTTATGTCATCATTGCTCTCTCTGGAGCATCCTTGGTACCTTAGATCATGGGGGGTGGGGTCCAGATATTGTTGGACTCCAGTTCCCATCAGCCTCAGGCAGCATGGCCAATGATCAGGGATGATACAAGTTGTGGTTTAGCCAGAATAGCATCGTGATTAGAGTGTTGGACTTGGACCTGGGAGAGTCCAGGGTTCAAATGCCCACTGTGCCATGAAGCTTCTTGGGTGTGACCTTGGGCCAATCCCTGCCTCTCAGCCCAACCTCTCTCAAAGGGTTGGTGTGGGGATTAAAGGAAGAATGGGAGAACCATGTATGGCATCTTGAGTCCCTGGGAGAAAAAGCTGGGATATAAATGCAAGGAATAAATCAATATCTGGAGGGCCAAAGGCTCCCCGACTGGCAATCACTCTACATATGATGAGGCAGGGAGTCTTTTCCCCAGGTCCACCTGGAGATGCTGCTGAAGATTGACTCTGGGACCTTCTGCATCCAAAGCAGAGTCTCTACCACTGAGATATGACCCTTCCCCCACCCCCAATTATTTTCAGTTAACAATTGAATGGCAAGCCTTGAAACCCTTCCCCTCCAATGCAGTGTTCCCCCACCTCTACAAGCAAGGGTGGGGAATTATAATTGTAATTATTTTTATTTTGAACTTGGTGGTTTACCCTGGGAAACTGCTGCCAATGAGGATCCTTCCCAGTGGGTACTCCTTCCCCTTGACCGTCACGGCAGGGCTGATGTCCAGGTTCCCGAATGAATCCAGGCTGGATACGCGTCCATACCGGGGTTCTCGGGTCACGTACCCAAAATCAGGGCCCTCCAAGGAAACACAGCAAGGAGAAATAGGAGCATAGGCAAGTATACAGAAGGCAAGGTGTTGTACAAGATGTGCCTTTAACTTCTAATCTGTGTCTGAAAAATGCTCTCTGTTTCCAGAGAGGAAGGTGAGAAATCTTACTTAATCTGGAGAGATGTGCTTTCATTATTTGGCATTGAGAGGGGCAGTGTACAGATAAAGTCAGTTGCAGCCAACAAAATTCTGCTCAGAGTAGACCCATAGAAATTCATTACTGTTTTTCCCTCTCTTGTAATACTTGAACATCCAATGGAGCTGAATGTTCAGGACGCATCAAAGGAAGTCCTTCTATAAGTCCTTCTATACATGGTTAAACTATGAAACTTCCTCCCGCAGGAAGCAATGATGGCCATCAACTTGGTTGGCTTTAAAAGAGAATTGGACAAAGTCGTGGGATAAGATAAGGCTATCCATGACTATGAGTCAAAATGGCTATGCTCTATCTTCACAGTTGGAGGCAGCAATGCATCTGAATACCAATTGCTGGAAACCACAGGAAGGGAGAAGGCTCTTGTGCCCAAATCCTGCTTGTAGGTTTCTCACAGGCATCTGGTTGGCCACTGTGAGAACAGGATGCTGCACTAAATGAGTCACTGGCAGACTCTTCATATGTTCTTATGTTAACCCAGTGTGGTAGACCAAGTTGGGTTCAAATCCACTCTCAGCCATGAAACTTCCTCAAGTGACCTCAGGCCTAGATCACTCTCTAGTCTAACCTACCACACAGGGCTATTGTTAGGGGGAAAGTAGGGTGGATGGTGAGAGAAACATAACCATCCTGGGCTCTTTCAAGGAAGACGTGGGCCTGGTTTGTACGCAACACAAAACCATGGTTTGCTTAGCCAAAGTGTGTTTTGTATGAACCCAGCTCAGCAGACCAACTGTGGTTTGTTTTCTGGTGGCAAACCAAAATGTCATGCCATTGTTTCCTTTTTGCTTAGGAACTATGGCTCATTTTCAAAGTGGCTTGGCATTTTGTCTGAAGCCTCACTGAACCATGGTTTGTTTGGCCACCCTAGCCCATAATCTCTTCCAGCAACAGAGCAGAAGACAAGAAAAACCGGGAATCAAGAAGCTAAGACAACTCTTGCAACATATGAAATGATTGCTTTTAGTCGCAGATTGTGTATGGATAAATATAATGATATTTGCAATGCATTTATAGAAATTATAGTGACTTGTATACTCTTCTCTGTATAGTATAGTAAAGTTTTATGCACCTTTTCATCCCCCCCCCATTTCTTTTACTTTATTTGTCCACTGAAAATGGAGAAAACAAGTCATGGCTTATTGTTCATCTGTGAGACAAAGTGTGGTTTATTGAACAAACCTCAGTTTAGCATTCCGTGCAAACACAGCCATGATATTTAGATTTCTTTTCTAATGCTATTGATGGAAGCATCTGCTTTCAGTAACAGAAGTGATGTGCTGAGGGCTGAAGAAGCCTGGCTTACCAAAATGCTTTTGAAAGGGAATTTCTTGAGGCCTCGGTTCCTGGGGGAGTCAAAGACGACGGGGAAGGACTTGTGGGGGGCCTCCACATAACCAAACTCCATCTCATCCTGTTAGAGGGGAGGGAAATGGATCAGGATCCCCACTGGTTAAGGTGCTGTATCCTTTTGGGAATGACCAGTTTAAAAATCTGTTTGCAAAAACACTCTTCCCTCTTTCCCCAAATGGGTTTAACACTAGTTACTTAAAGCATTTGCAGCCTGTTCTTCAGATCAGGGAACAAAGCCAATGAAAATAATAAAAGGAAAACAATAATATACAAGAATTACAAAATCCTATGAACAGGTCCAATAAACAGCAAATTAGCAATTGTGCCTTAAGGTGAGCAAACAAATATTCACCCTTCCTTAACTGCTGGAGTGTGTATTGGGAGACCTGGGGGAAGGCAGTGATGGGGAAGGCAGAGACCTTCTGGTGGCAGCAGGTGCCCCACCTGGCCTCAGGGATGTACAGCTTCAAGGAGGGTACCTGGATCCAGCGGTCACCCCGATTTTCAATCTCTGGGCAGATGGTCAGCTTACAGCCAGCTTTCTGTGCCAGGGCTTTCACAGCCTCCAGGAATGTCTGGTTGGGGTTGGTGCCTCTTTCAATGCTGGAAAAGAGAAAAAGATGCAAAGGGAAGGAAAACTATGTAGACGAGGACCACAGGGCCATCTTTAGCCAGGTCAAAGTTGTTGAGCTTTTTTTTTAGGGGTACAAGTCTAAGTTGTTCAGCTTTTAAGGAGGTTAAAACCACTAACATGAAAAAATAAAAAGCGGCAGCGATAGCTCCATCTTCTATTTTTGTGATCATGCGAAAATGAACGACGCCACTAGGGCATGCCGCTGGATACATTGATTCTGCAGCTCTTCCACAAAAGAGAATGGAAATGACCCAGCGATCAACCGCTGATCGCGGTTAAGAACTTAGGCAGCTTCAGCAGCAGGTGCCTCCCCCCCCCCCCCGAATTCAGCGCCCGGGTGCCCCTCACCCCTTGCACCCCTGGGTAGAGACAGCCCTGGAGGACCATTAAGAGCATGAGAAGAGCCTGCTGGATCTGGCCAGTGTCCTATATAGCCCAGCCTCCTGTTCTCGCAGCGGGCAACCAGATGTCCCCAATGGGAATCCTGTATGCAGGATATGAGCACAGCAGCATCTCTTCCCGTTTGTGATTCCCAGCAGTTGGCATTCAGAAACATTACTGCCTCTGACTGTGGAGATAGAGCATAGCTGGATTCTGTCTAGTAGCCCTTGACTCCCTTACTTTGGAAGCCATTGTAGCTCAACTGCAGAAGTGAACCATTCTCAAATTAGCTTAGTACAGTGGTACCTCGGGTTAAGTACTTAATTCGTTCCGGAGGTCCGTTCTTAACCTGAAACTGTTCTTAACCTGAAGCACCACTTTAGTTAATGGGGCCTCCTTCTGCCGCTGTGCCGCCGGAGCACGATTTCTGTTCTTATCCTGAAGCAAAGTTCTTAACCTGAGGTACTATTTCTGCGGAGTCTGTAACCTGAAGCGTCTGTAACCTGAGGTACCACTGTACTTATGGTCCACAGACACACACACACACACACACGTTTCCCAGGACTTGTTTCCTCTAGCACTGAGATGTTCAGCTAAGTCCTAGTCAGAGAGGAAATGAATGGACCTATGTTTGCCATGTTCAGTCACTTCCGTAGCTCCACCCTGAGCAGGACTAGCACTAGGTGCAACTCCAAGGAAACTATGAGATATAGAATCGTAGAAGTATGGAGTTGGAAGGGACCCCAAGGGTCATCTGGTCCAACCCCCCACAATGCAGGTATCACAGTGAGGAATCCCTGGCAGATGGGCATCCAACCTCTGCTCGAAAACCTCCAAAATCCATTTAAAGGTTGGAAACCTAGGAAGTGATAGTCATCTGAACATTAACCAGCAGCTTGGTTTTAGCATCCTAAATGACACCATTACCCACTGCTCCACCCACAACACACACACCCTGCCGCCACCCACAAAAATATGGTGGTTTTTTAACCTGCAGACAAATATCTCCAATGGCTTCAGTGTGTTGGGGGTCATTATCCAGGGAGCCACTCGGAAAACCACAGTGTCTGTGAAAACAGGTGTGGCTGGCGAATTCTGTGGAAAGTAAGAGTTGGGTGGGGGAGAGAGAACATCAGAAGAGTCTGGCTGCAGGGTCAGGCCATTGGGATCACGTCCAGCATCCTGTTCTCACAATGGCCAACCAGATGCTTATTGGAAGCATGGGTGGAGCTGGAAATTATAGCCTCCCATCTCCTCCACCATCCTCATCAGGATTGTACCTGACTTGAGTGCTCCAGCAGTGTCGCGTTCAAAGAAACTAGGCCTTTGAAGTCAGCATCTGGGAAGGCCAAGCCCTCCACATAGAAAGTGTGCTGCCCTTTCCCATCGGTGCGTCCCACGGTGTAGGAGAGCTTGTCCACCCCCAACACATGCTCGTAGTTGGAGAATGACACATCACCTGCAGTGAAAGTAAGCCACGTGACATCTGTTATTATATTTTGTTGTGTTTATTTATAATATTTACAGGGAAAGTCATGCAAATAATATCCTGCAAGCAAACTGGAACAAATGCAGGATGGAAGTTTGCTGTTGTATAACCTCCCTGCAGACAAATCAGAATCAATGCACAATAAAGACTGGATGCAGTCTAATATCCACATGAGTTTTCTGCAAACAAAGCAGAACAAATGCACCATAAAGACTGCGCATTGTCTGACCTCTGCATAAGCATTGCACAAGGAAATCAGGATGGATGCTCAAGTAACAGGTCTGGAGGATCCCCCTGTTGATTCTGCCAGACCAGAGGGCAGATATTAGAGCAAAGAACCGGGGACTCACCTCTAGCGTGGAAAACTCTCACTTTGGCTGCATCGAATAGGGAGATGTGAAGGACCAGCTTGTGGGTGTCAAAGACGCCAGCAGGGCCATGGGTGTTCAGGATCAGAAGCGACAAGTCTTGCAGGTCTTGGAAAAACAGGAGGGACAAGGATTTAGGTGTCAGAATAGGTCACCATCAAGGTGCTCTTCCAGCCTCCCTAGATGGGGTATTCTGACTGAGTTTGCCTTTCCAGTTATATATCAACCCACTCCAAAGGTTCGTGCAAACTAGGGGTTGATGTTTGAGAACTGTTGACTCTGGGAAATGGCCTCAAAGGTCTCTTCAGCAGAGGTGCACGTACAAAGCTTCGTTGCAGGGGTGCACATATGAAACTTGACTTCAGAGGTGCAGAGATGAAGCTTCATTTGATGCTATGAAATTTGGGGATATCGGGAGCTGACAGTGCTGGTCCTTCCCCTCCCCATATCCTGGTCACCATAAGAGGGAAAAATGGAGAGCACAGCCATGGGCATAGCCGGGGGGGGGGGCAGGGGGGCAGCTGCCCCCAATAATTAAAAACCAATAAAAATATATAGCAAACTGAGGTTCTGCCACCTCTAACAAAAAACCTTCCCCACCCCACAACAAAAATCTTGGCTATGCCAATGAGCACTGCAGAGATACAGAGGGCTGGTTTGTACTCTTTCCTTATTTTTAATTCCAGGATTTGGCTACAGAATCTGAATTAATGCCAAACAGACAAGAGTTGCTGAGCTTGTGCATATTTGGCAGGTTTTTTATTTAATTTTGTATTTTAAATCATTGTAATAACCCACCCTGGGTTATTATTATTACTGTTGTTATTGTTATTATTATTAGAACCATTCTTGCCCATTGCAATAAGTTGTAGGCCTTTGTGGGCAGGGATGCGGATTTCACCAGCTTATTCCCATCAAGCTGCAAGGCCAGGGTTCAAGGAGCATTTCTTTATTTATTACATCTACACCCCACCTTTTTATCCAAGGAACTCCTAGGAGCATACATGGTTCTCCCTCTCCCCATTTAATCCCCACAACAACCCTGTGAAGTAGGTCAGGCTGAGGGGCAGTGACTAGCCCAAGGCCATACCCAGTGAGCTTCATGGCCAAGGGGGGGGGGGAGTGAATCCTGGACTCTCCCAGCTCCTAGTGCAACACTCTAAACACTACACCACACTGGCTGCTTAGCCCCAGCATGTACCTGTGTGGGATCGGACGTACGGATAGGCATTGTCCATGTCTCCAAAGCTCGGGCCGTCCCTGTCGCAGTTGACCAGCAGAACCGCTCCTTCTCCTTGGGGACCCCAAGACCATTTTGTCTGCAGGGTAAACAGCAACAATGAATTTCATCGCTTCCTCTCAAATGATATATAAGAGGGTCTCTCTTGTGTGCCTTGGAGTGGGGGGGACCGAGCCTCTCGTTACTCTCTTTCATTCTGCTTCCAGCAGACAGACCCCTTTCCAAGGCAGATCCATGAAACCAGATCCTGCCCCCCATTTGGAGGACAACAAGTTTTTGATCTGCTGGTTTAGATATGCACATGTTCAACTGAACCAGTGGCTACGTCCGGATTGTTAGTCAACACAGCCCTCCCACCCCACCCTGTTCCAATAAAGGTTTTTTCAGGCCCCATTCAGATGCAAAAGAGGAGGCACAAAACTTATGCAGGGTTTACGTTCTGGGGGTCTGCACACAAATATCTTGCAGAAGGTCACGCAAGATCTTGTGAGGTCTTCGCAAGATCCTGCAAAATCTCTTTCTGACCATTTCCTTCCCGTTCTCCATTTATTTTCCCACCACCTGTGCAAAGCTGCAATTGTGCAAGTAAATCCAACGTAGGACATTTACAAGACCATTTTGTTATGCGAAAATCTCTCTGTCTCTTGCAGTTGGTTTTTTTGGGAGGAAGATCCCAAAAGCTTCATCCAACAAAAGACTGTCTGAAAAGTGGCATCACCGTCCTTATGCCTGGTAGGTAAATTTTATCGCTTGGAACCTTAATTCAGTTTTCAGGTGACATCTTCTGTATAAGGAACCAAGCAGGGACCTTCTAACCCACCGCTTAGTGGCAGAGCACCTGTTTGGCATGCAGAAGGTCCCAGGTTCAATTCCCAATGGCATTTCTAGGTACAGTGGTACCTTGGTCTAAGAACAGTCCTGTTAATGAATGATTCGGGCAATGCACTCCGCAAAACTGGAAATAGGTGTCCCAGCTAGCGAACTTTGCCCCGGAAGACGAACAGAAGCCAACCGGTGGAAGGGCCCCGACACCAGGAAGCCTCATTGGGGAAAGCGCGCCTTGGTTTAAGAATGCTTTTGGTGTAAGAACGAACTTCCAGAACGAATTAAGTTCATGAACGAAGGTACCACTGTACGGCTGGGAACAGACTCTTGCCTGAAACCCTAGAGAGCTGCTCCCATTCAGTGTAGACAACACTAGATGAACCAGTGGTCTAACTCACTTATTTTTACTCCATTCCATACTGCCACATGCATTCTTCAGCCAACTAGTATAGTGAGAAAGTTGCATCCTTATTGGATAAATCCAGAGGGGATAGGACTGTCATTTGCTACTAGCATTGTGCATACACGATGTGGAGAGAGTAGACAGGAATTTTCCTGCCTTCTCACCATAGTAGACCTTAAAGGAGTCATCTGACAAAGCTAAATGTTGGAATGTTCAGGTCAGATGAAATAAGCTCCCTTTTTTTACACAGTCTGCATTGTGTGAGAAGTGAAGCCATCTTCAAATATTTGGAGGGCTGCCATGTGAAAGATGGAGCAAGCTTGTTTTCTGCTCCTTAGCTAAACCTTAGTAAGAATCTCCTAATGGTGAGAGCTGTTCAACAGTGGGATGGACTCCCTCAGAAGGTGGTGGACTCTCCTTTGTTGGAGGTTTTTAAACAGAGGTTGAATGGCCACCTGTCAGGGATGCTTTAGCTGTGACTCCTGACCTCAATGCCCCTTAGGCCGTCCATTCCAACTCTTGTTGTTGTTGTTTAGTCGTTTAGTCGTGTCCGACTCTTCGTGACCCCATGGACCAGAGCACGCCAGGCACTCCTGTCTTCCACTGCCTCCCACAGTTTTGTCAGACTCATGTTTGTAGCTTCAAGAACACTGTCCAACCATCTTGTCCTCTGTCGTCCCCTTCTCCTTGTGCCCTCCATCTTTCCCAACATCAGGGTCTTTTCCAGGGAGTCTTCTCTTCTCATGAGGTGGCCAAAGTATTGGAGCCTCAGCTTCACGATCTGTCTTTCCAGTGAGCACTCAGGGCTAATTTCCTTAAGAATGGATGTGTTTGATCTTCTTGCAGTCCATGGGACTTCCAACTCTACAATTCTGCAATTCTAGGACAAGGCTATCAACGGCTACTAATCATCAAGATGACTTTGTACTAGCTACAGTATCAGAAACAGCATGGAGTGTTGAGCCTCACACCTGGCCAAGGTAAATTGGAGGGCAGAAAAGGTGTGGTGGGGACTGTTCTTGGCAGATACGGATCTATTAGCATATCTGTTGACGTAATTCTTTATGCAGCACATAGTTAAACGGCAGAACTCCCTCCCACAGGAGACAGTGATGGCTGCCAACTTGGATGGCTTTAAAAGAGGATTGGGCAAATTCATGGAGAACAGAGCTATTGATGGATACTAGCCAGGATGGCTCTGCTCTGTCCTTACGGTCAGAGGCAGCAATGCTTCTGAGCACCTGTAGCCAGAAGCCACAAGAGGGCAGAGGGCTGCTGTTGTGCTCAGGTCCTGCTTGCGGGTTTCCCATTGGGGCATTTGTTCAGCCACTGTGAGAACAGGAGGCTGGACTGACAGAGATATAGGAAACTCTGCCATTCTTACCTTGTTGCTTGCTTTGCCATCCACCTTACCAGTTCGGCTAGTATCAGCGTCCAGAGAGATAGCTGACAATATATTGGGGTGGGATGGGGGGATAATCATGTTAGTACTTCAGGCTACATATTTGATATTGTGCATGAATATTTTTACTTTATTGAATTTATTGCATTTATACGCCATCCTTCCTCCCCAAGCGGCCCAGGGGGTTAGTACCACAGAGTAAGCTGCCATGCCAGGCTTAGCTAGGTCAATTCCCCTTACCTTGGGAGAAAATAGGTAATGAAACCTATTGCTCACCCCCAGTCTACCTGAGAAGTTCAACATGTAAAGAGGTTTGAGCTAGTTGCTCCAGCTCAACTGTATGGCTCTCATGAGCCACTATACCAATGATTTAGGAACTTGCACCACTGTAATGTGCCTGTGCAACTTTTTCTGAATGCTATATGGAAAAGCACATGAATCTGACCTTTGGAGTGTTTGTAAGTAAACTATTTTTAACTTACCAAATGTGTGGCCTTTTTCTATGCTGGGGGAAAGGGGAAATTTGGAACCCACAGGAGCCTTTACAGGTCTAACAGCCTATATTTCCTTGCTGTACTTTGCTGCATATGTTGTGATTATAAATCTGTGCTGGGGTTTTCTTGCCAAAAGTACTTGCCCCAGACTTGGATCTTGGAATCCAGGAATTTGTGTGTGTGTGTTGCACCAAAAGCCTAGAGCTGTTTAGTGGTGCATCGCGCCAGGGCGCTGCCCTCTCAGGGGTGCCCCAGTGAGTGGAGGAGCTGCACAGCTTTGCCGGCAGCCTCCCCTTTCCCTGCACGCCCGTCAGCTGTGCCCCGCCAACCTTATGGCTGGCGGGCATGCAGCTTGCCTCCCAAGCCTCTGCGGGGATCGCTCTCCTCCCAAGGAGGCTTGGGAGGGAAGCTGCACTCTCCTCCCGTGGAGGCTTGGGAGGGGTGCAGCTTCCTTCCCAAGCCTCTGTGGGGATTACTCTCCCACAGCGTCATGGGGGAGAGTTGTGCCCCCCCCATGGCTGGCAGTGCGCAGCTTCAGCCCCCCCATCTGTGGTAATTTGGGGGCGCTGGGCGGATATTTGCACCCTGACGCCACATCTGCTAAAGACGGCCCTAGATCTGAATACCAAATATGAGTGAGAATGTGGAAGGACTGGTCATTACTTACCCATACAAGTGATGTACAACCAAGCATTGGCAATGAGGGTGTCCCCTGTTGGCCCGTAATATGAAACCCGAACCTGCAAAAAGACACAGTACCCAGTCATAAGAACATAAGAAAAGCCCTGCAGTTTCGATCAGACCAATAGCTCTGATCTAGTTCAGCATCCTGTTCCCACAGTGGCCAAACCAGGTGCCCCAAAGGGAAACCCTCAAGCAGCCATTCCCAACAATGCCACTGACACCTAATTTTTTTTCTTGCGAGGTTTAAATAGCACACAGAATGGCAAGTCCCATATGGCAGCAACATGGTCTGTTCCACCCCACCGTTTAATGTGGACCTCTGTTTATTCTCCACTGTCCATGTGACGTTCTCCTCTAAATCACTGACTTTCCACCCTTACCACTATCTCAGTCTTGATTTTCTCATAACAGGAATACTCTGAAAAGTAAGTAAGCGCCCCCCCTCCTCATCTTTTTATTCCCTAAGTCTCATGGTTCCCTTCAGGCTTGTATCCAAAAGGACAGGCTTTCAGAAGATGAGCACGACTGTTGGTATAAGGGTACCGTGAGCACTTTGTTTTCATCACCTCTTACAACAACCCTAGAAGGTAGGTTCAATTTAGTTAGTTAGATATTCCGTAAACTTTATACACCACTTGATTGTAAGGGGGGGAAACACACCAAGCGGTTTACAAAAAGCTTAAACAATAAAATTATCCAGAATAATTTACAACGATAGTTTAAAACATGGGTAGGCAAACTAAGACCCGGGGGCCGGACCTGGCCCAATTGCTTTCTAAATCCGGCCTGCAGACGGTCCGGGAATCAGTGTATTTTTACATGAGTAGACCGTGTCCTTTTATTTAAAATGCATCTCTGAGTTATTTGTGGGGCAAAGGAATTCGTTCATTTTTTCCCTTCAAAGTATAGTCCACCCCCCCACAAGGTCTGAGGGACAGTGGACTGGCCCCCCTGCTGAAAAAGTTTGCTCACCCCTGGTTTAAAACATACCAAAAAGTTAAAATAGTAAAAATACTGAATTCTTACAAATGTGGAATGGGTATTGTTAGCCACTTTTCTTTTCTTTTACAAAAGTACATTGGTACCTTGGGTTACATACGCTTCAGGTTACATACACTTCAGGTTACAGACTCCGCTAACTCAGAAACATAGCTGTCAACTTTCAGATTTGAAAATAAGGGATCAGCAACCTCACCTGTCCCGGGGACAGTCTACGGGATATCTAACAATCCGGGATATCAGCGGGAAGCAGCGGGAAACGGCGCTGGAATAAGGGAATTTCCCGCAAAAAAAGGGAAGGTTGACAGCTATGCCCAGAAATATTACCTCAGGTTAAGAACTTTGCTTCAGGATGAGAACAGAAATCGTGCAGCGGCGGCGCAGCTGCAGCAGGAGGCCCCATTAGCTAAAGTGGTGCTTCAAGTTAAGAACAGACCTCCGGAACGAATTAAGTTCTTAACCCGAGGTACCACTGTAATTCAAAACACTATACAACAATCAGCCTGACTGGGTTTGAAATCCATTTGGATCCAGCGCACCTCCCTTGTTGCGACACTCTGCGCTGCTCACCGCAACATGGTCAAAGGCTGGCTCCCAGGTATGGTTGCCAGGCTCTCAGAGGAGCCCAGCTGCTCCCCGCTCACCTTGTTGTCATTGACAGCGCTGCTGGGTCCGTTTAGAGCCACGACCACTTCCACGTCCGAGTCGAGAAGCCACCTTGTACCTTCAGATGCTGTGGCAACATTGGGGTTGTAGATGACGTAGACTCGAAGCCCGGAAGTTCCACGGACATCAAATGACGTGGCACCTTTGGGTATAGATCTAGGGCCAGAGCAAACAATTGGGGTGGGGGGTTTATCATTGCATTATCATCACTGATAATCAGAAAAACTTTCTGACAGTCACTATTACGATTACATTTGAATGACATATTTTTCCTTCAAGGAACACCAGGTGGCACACGTGGTTCTCCCCCTCCTCATTTAATCCTTACAACAACCCTGTGAGGTAGGTTAGGCTGAGGGAAGGCAGTGACCTCATCCCCAAAGTCACACCCAGTGAGCTCCCTGGCAAAATGGGGGTTTGAACCCTGGTCTCCTAGGTCTTAATCTGACATTCTAACCAGGGGCGGACTTTGGTAATATGGTGACCCGGAGCGAGGACAAAATTTGGCCCGCATCCCTAAATATTTCTTATGCTGTAACCACTAGGGCCCACTGGTTCTCTATTCCAGCTAAGCAACAAACCCAAAACACTTTAGTGCAAAGCAGTAAGGAGTGTGGTTTCCAATTTTTTTGGGGGGGGGCACCCCCTTGGATTCCATAAACTCATACCTAGTGCCTGCTACTCTAAAATAAAGAATCATTCAGAATAGCGCTTTGCACGACCTACTAAGGAAGAAAATAACACAATCCAATCAAAAACAGTAACCGTTAATGGAATGTTTATTCCGAAGCCAGCTAAAACTATTTAGTTTAATGAACTCAACTAAGCTGTTGAACTTGATCCAGTGATAGGGGCTTTTTAGAGTCTGATAGACACTGACACCTCCATTGCACCCGTGATTCCCCCTTGCCTCTTGGCCCCTGGGAATCCTGCTGGCCACTTTGGGATCCCCTACCCTAGAACTTCCCCTGCATTCTGACTGCAGTCCATAGCCAGGATTGTGATGCAATGCTACAGCTTCAATGAGAGCTGCTTGATGACAGCCTTACACACACATACACATATATATTCCACATATGCATTGCCACCTTTCTCTCTGTGCTTCCTCCACCCAGCCCCGTCTGTGCCTTGCAGCAGCTTGTAAAGAAAGATATTAATCTGTCAACATGCAGAATTTAAAAGGGAAGCCGAGGAAGGCAGTAAATCTGGCTGTAAACCTGTCTAATCGCTCCATTCCTTGTGGTTGGGCTCTGTTGGATTTACGATCTGCAGAAGCACACCCATTAACCATGACTCCCGGAGCTAGTCATCTTTGGTCACAGAAAGGAAGGATGGAATGCAGGGTGGAGGGGGGAATGAAACCCTCCTTTATGGGCCCTAAATAAGAGCAATCATTTTAATAGTGTTTTCCATGCAGGTGGAACAACCACCTTCGATTTCTTAATCTGCACACACCTATAAAGGTCATCCTGGGAGTTTGGGCTGGCTGGTCACATAGCAATTAAAGTCCGGAGCCCATTACAGGAAGCCCATAGCAGGTCCTGAGTGCGAGAGCAATTCTCCCCACACCTCAGCAAGTGGTCGGTTGACAAGAGCCTCCTCCTCCTTATAATAAAATACCTGCTGGATCAGACCATAAAGGGCCCAAGTAGCCCAGCATCCTGTTCTCCCAGTAGCCCATTCCACTAATGTGGCTTATGTTGCAAGGGAGAAGCTTCCCAATGTAGGATAGGATGTCCCTATTTTCATCTGAGAAATGTTGGAGGGTACGCTTCGCATTTGTAAGAGCTTGATCATTTAGTGCCACATCACCCAAACCTTGGAACTCCCTGCCTATTGATACCAGTCGGGGCAACTTTACTGTATTGTTTTCAGCACCTGCTAAAAACGTTGTTTGAACAAGCCTACCCAGTCACTTACAAAGTTGGTGTGAACTTTCTGTACATTTTAAACATTTTTTCTTGATGATTTCCTTTTTGTGTGTGAACCACTTTGATTTTTGTTTGTTTCGTTTCTTTGTTGTTGTTTTTAACAATCAAGTGGCATGAAAATTTCATGAAGTAAATTAAAACAAACAAATAAATAATGTCCCCCCAGGCTAAAGACGCTTCCTCAGCTACTACTATCAAAGCAAGTATGTAAGTATGTGACCTACTCAAGAGGTCGGAGAGAGAGAATCTTTCAAATACACCCTTTGACTGCGGCAAGGTGAACAAAGAGCCCTGTGACACATTGAAAGGCCAACAGGTTGCCTAAGGTGCAAGCAGTCTTGGACTAGAAATACAGCTTTGTCAGATGGGCAAAATGTTATCCTTAGTTGACAGGTATATCTATACATTGGCAGAAACAGTTGACAGGGTGGCTACGAGGATATGGAATGAAAAGGAGTACAGTAATGTGATATTCAGACTAATTTTTAAATGAAGTTCTTCCCCTCACCCACCCACAAATTTCTGTCTCTCTGCTGATGCTGCCTTTGGCAACCTGGCTTCTTCCAGACATGTTGGACTACAACTCCCATCAGCCCCTAGTCAGCGCACAGCCATGCTGACACTGCATGTTGGGTACAGCTAGTGGATTTGGTGGTTCTGAGCAGAATCAGAGTTGATGTGGTGGAATCTGCAAAGCTGCAAATCTCTGCAAACCTGGATCTCTGCTACCTCGGAGTTTGATGCAGTGGGATCAGTTTTGGAGGGGAGGCAAAGACAGAGGGGCAGAGCAGCTTTTTGTTTATTTAAAAAGATTTCTGTACCACTTGATTGCCACAAAACCACCAAACCTTTTGTAACAGATGCTAAAATTATAGATGTAAATAGTTAAAAACAAGGAATTTAAAAACAACAACAACCTACTGTTGTACATGTCTGGGTAGGTTTGCCTAAATGTTTGAAGCATGTGCCGAAAAGAGAACAGTGAAGGTACCTGCCTGATGTCAAGAGGCAGGGAGTTCCAGAGCATAGGTGCTGACACACTAAAATATGGATTCCTTGCAATTGCGGAACGAGTCTTATATGGCATCTGTAGCAGTGGCAGTTCTGCTGATCAAAGTGGCTGAGCTGGTATTTACAGAGTAGGGCAATCCCACAAGGAAACTGGTCCCAAGCTATGGATAGTGCCTAAGCATTGGGCGTGCACCACTTCCCAAACCAACGCTGGGAGTGCACTGGACAGGGAGTAAACGGGAGTGAGGTTCTACATTTAGGTAGGAACCAGCTGTGCAAATATAAGACGAGGGGACACCTGGCTTGGCAGCAGGACATGGGGAAATGATCCAGGGGTCTTAGTAGACCACAAGCTGAACATGTGTCAACAGTGTGATGGAGAAGCAAAAAAAAGGGGCGAATGTTATTCTCAGCTGCATGAATACAAGTTTAGTGTCCAGATCAAGGGAAGTAATAGTACTACTCTATTCTGCCTTGGTCAGACCACACCTGGAATACTGTGTCCAGTTCTGGACACCACAATTTAAGAAGGATATTGGCAAGCTGGAATGTGTGCAGAAGAGGGCAACCAAGATGATGAAGGGTCTGGAAACCAAGTCTTACGATGAACAGTTGAAGAAGCCTGGGGAAGAAGAAACTGAGAAGTGACTTGATAGCCATCTTTTTCTTCTGCTCCAGAGGGTAGGACTCGAACCAATGGCTTCAAGTTACAGGAAAGGAGATTCTGACTAAACATCTGGAAAAAATTCTGATGGCAAAAATTGTTCAAGAGTGGATTGGACTCCCTCAGAAGTTGGTGGACATCCCTTCCTTGGAGGGGTTTTTTAAAGCAAAGGTTGGATCTGTCAGGGATGCTTTAGTTGCAATTCATGCCTTGCAGGGGGTTGGACTAGATGACCCTTGGGGTCCCTTCCAACTCTGTGATTCTGTGACTGAACACCCAGCCCATGTTTCTGTCTTCCATGACAGCATGCCAAACACATGAGGAGAGAGGGCACAGAACCACCCTCCGCCAGGCATGCAGTTACAATGGTACCTTGGGTTACAGACGCTTCAGGTTACAGACGCTTCAGGTTACAGACTCTGCTAACCCAGAAATATTACCTCGGGTTAAGAACTTTGTTTCAGGATGAGAACAGAAATTGCGCAGCGGCAGCAGGAAGCCCCATTAGGTAAAGTGGTACCTCAGGTTAAGAACAGTTTCAGGTTAAGAACGGACCTCTGGAACGCATTAAGTTCTTAACCCGAGGTTTGGCACAAAATTGGAAGCAAGAAGAATTACCGACGAAAGAAGAATGGAGGAGGAAAATGATGGACTATGCAGAATTAGATAAACTAACAGGAAGAATTTGAAACCTGCGGGACCAGAGATTCTCAGAAGACTGGAGTAAATTTACGGACTATTTGAAAAGTAATTGTGATGAACAGATTACGCTAGTAGGTTTGCAAGAAGTTTTGTAAGGTGAATTATTTGAAATATTGCAAAAAAGATAATGAGAATTGTTAGTTAAAGGATTAAAGGTAATATGAAATTAAGAAATGCATAATAAGTGATAAGAACGGAAAATCATCAGAGGTGTTGACGGAAGTCCAAAAATTATTGTATAAGATGAGAAGTTTTGTTGTATGAATGATAATTAATATGTTAAAAACTAATAAAAATGTACATATATACCGTATTTTTTGCTCTATAGGATGCACCAGACGATAGGACGCACCTAGTTTGGGGGGGGAGGAACAAGAAAAAAAAAAATTCTGAATCCCAGAAGCCAGAACAGCAAAAGGGATCTGGCTTCTGGGATAGCCTCTTGCTGTTCTGGCTTCTGGGATAGCCGCTGGGATAGCTGGTCTTTGCGCGAAGCCTCCGCAGGGCACAGGGAGCCTTCATCCCCGTGCCCTGCAGAGGCTTCGCGGGGCCATCCAAAAGGCAGAATAGCTAGAGGGAGCGCTTCTGGGACAGCCTGTGAAGCTGCTGCACAGCGCTCCGTCTCACTGTTCTGGCTTCGGGGACAGCCTTTGAAGCCTCCACAGGGCAGTGGGGTGAAGGCACCACGCTGCCCTGCAGAGGCTTTGCGCAACTAACCCTGAAGCCTTTGGAGCACAGCGCGAGGTCCCTCCTGTGCTCCAAAGGCTTCAGGGATAGCCGCCTGAAGCCTTTAGAGCGCAGCGGGACCTCGCGCTGCGCTCCAAAGGCTTCAGGTGGCTATCCCTGAAGCTTGGAGAGCGAGAGGGGTCGGGGTGCCCCGACCCCACGCGCTCCAGGCTTCAGCAAAAGCAACGCGAAGCCTCCGGAGCGCGGAGGGAGCGCTCCCTCTGCGATTTGGAGGCTTCGCATTGCTTTCTCTGAAGCTAAGGTGCCTGCATTCGCTCCATAGGACGCACAAACATTTCCCCTTAATTTTTGGAGGGGGAAAAGTGTGTCCTATAGAGCGAAAAATACGGTATATAAAAGTTCTTAACCCAAGGTACCACTGTAGATGAAACCAGTCTAAAATAATAAAGCTGTGTTCAGGTCCCTGACACCCTCCTCCTCCTTCTCCCTGTGCAGAATGCAGTTCTTGAGGGATTATTCATGCCGGAAGCTGCACGCTGCTGGTGTCACAGTATACAGAAATAGCACCTCAGTCTCAGGGGCGTGGGCTCCTTGCACACCTAGCCTTCAAGTCTTTGCTTGCCTAACATTGTCTGACAACCCCCCTCCCTCCACCTGTAAGGGCTCATGGCTAAGCTCAATCTATTCTCCTTCACACCTCTCCTTCCTCAGAAGAAAGAAGGACTCGTGTTCCTGGGGTTTCTTAACGTGACATAACATAACCAGTTGACCTACAATATTCTCTTGCCTGACACAGGCCCACTCAACCACTTAAATCAGTGGAATTGCCACTGCTACAGGTGCCACATAAAACACATTCCACTTTTGTAAGAACTCTATTTGGAACTTTGGAACTCCCTGCCTCTTGATAGCAATCAGCTGCCTCCATTGTATTCCTTTCAGCACCTGCTTAAAACTTTATTGCTTAAACAAGCATATCTAGACTCTTAGAAAGTTGGTGCGGATTTTAATCTGTTATAGTATTTTAACTTATTGTATATTTTGAAGCGTGGCTGCAAATTTTTCCTGATTTTCCTGTTTTATCTTTTGTAAAGTGCTTTGAGGATTATTAGCTTTTTACCATCAAGTGGTGTATACATTTTATGAAACAGATGAATAAATAACATAGAAGCATAATGTAAGAAGAGCCTGCTGAATCAAGCCAGTGGCTCATCGAGCCCAGCATTATTATTCAGAAACGTTGTTGTTGAATTGTCCCTATTTTCATTGGACAAATGTTGGACGGTATGGAATCCCAGCCATCATAGCCACTGGTCAGGGATTTCTGGGCGTCAACCCCTGGTGAGCTATAGTTTCTGAGTTTTTTAATAGCTGGAAGGAAGTTGCCTTCTAGCAAGTCAGACCATAGATCCATCTAGCTCTGTAATGTCTACACTGACTGGCAGCAGCTCCCTAGGGAGACCTCCCCAACCCTACCTGGAGATGCCAGAGATTGAACCCGGGACCTTCTGCATGCAAAGCAGGTGTTCTGTTGGAGAGGTCTGTTGTCAGGGATGACCCTTCAAGGAAGTATTGCTTAAAATATATTAGACCCTGTGCCAATACATTTTTTAAAAATAAGGATTTACAGCACATTTTCCCCTCAGTGCCCCACGTGCATCACCTCAGTCCCACTCACAACAATGCTGTAGGGCAGAGACCAGAAAAACAATGAGCTTGCTTATTGCCAGACACACCTAAGATCGAACCCAGCACCAAGCTCACAACGCCCTTTAACCACCCAGGGCTGCCTGTTCTCACAAACGCTCAACTGCCAGCCCATGCAAAATGCCATCACTTGCCCACAGAAATGCCATCACTTACCCATGGATGTCTATCGAGATTTCTGTCCCCAGCACGCAGGCAATGTAGTTCGGCTGCTCGGTGGACACCCGCACTACTCTCTGCCTGGCTGTCATTGTCTCAGCGGGGAGAAAAGGTGGCCAAAATTAGCACTTCTGCAGAGAGCCTGGATTGTCCTGTTTTCACGGGGAAACCAGCATGACTGGCTTAGGAAGGCGAAAAGGAACCCTGGGACCTCTGCTCCACCTTGTTCCCTTTCCCTCTTTGGTGTGTTGGTGCTGTCTCCTTGCCTCCGAGTGCAGCTGGGATCTGAAATATACAGATATATGGAGAGAAATATATAGTTGGGGAAGGGACAGAGGGAGGAGGTTCCAATCTCTCCCCAAAACACTTCAAAATCTGGGTCCTTTGGTAGGGACCTGGGTGTGCAAGGGTGTTGGATCATCAGGGAGGTCAAACGCTGAGAGACAGAAAGGGCAGGACTCCTGGCTACGAGGAATACTATAATTTAGCTATTCATGTGTTCTTTTCTTTGCGTATTACTCAGGGTGCTAGGAGATGTTGTGTTTCGTTACCAAGCGGGGGAATAGGGCACCTGGGCAGGGAAAACTGATTTGGGGTTGGAGAGGGCTATTGATGCCTATGCATTCTCTCCACAGTCAGAGGCAGTGATGCTTATTAACAACAACAACAACAACAACAACAACATTTATACCCCATCCATCTGGGCGGCTGCCAGCACATATAAAAAGATAATAAAACGTCAAACATTAAAAGCCTCCCGATACAGGGCTGCCTTCAGATGTCTTCTAAAAGTTGTGTAGCTCTTTATCTCCTTGACATCTGAAGGGAGGGCGTTCCACAGGGAGGGTGCCACTGCCGAGAAGGACCTCTGCCTGGTTCCCTGTAACTTCACTTCTCAAAGTGAGGGAACCTCCAGAAAGCCCTCAGAGGTGGATCTCAGTGTCCAGGCTGAAGAATGGAGGTGCACACACTCCTTCAGGTATACAAAGGCCATTTAGGTCAGCACCAACACTTTGAATTGTGCTTGGAAATGTACAGGGAGCCAGTGGAAATCCTTTAGGACTGGTATTATACGGTCCTGGCGGTCATATAATCCCAATTGCTGGGGACTGCAGGAGGGAACAGGGGTCTGGTTCTCGATTCCTGCTTGTGGGTTTCCCACAGGAATCTGGGCGGCCAAGGAATTCCGGGGGGGGGAGTATAATGAATTTAAAAATATGTTTGAATTGGTAACACCCCCCCCCCAAAAAAAACACCCCGGAACCTTTTTGCTAGGGACAATGGGGGCGGAGGTTCCGAAGAAGCTGGCAAATCTTTTTTTTTTTTTAAATGATAGCTGACAAATCTTTTTATGTATGCAACAACTGCCGCCGGAAACTTTTACATGCAAAAATGGAAAGAGGGAGAGATTCCAACCAAAGAAGAACGACTTATAATATTAATGGATTATGCTGAAATGGTGAAATCTGACTGTAAAACTAAGAGATCAAAACTGTGAACTGTTTATGGAAAATGGAGGCCTTTTTTGTTTTTTGGTTACTATTTGTCAAAGTATTTTAGAGATATGAAATCACAAGCAGGATTCAAGATATGAGTGATGGGGGGGAGAGATAAGATGGAGTTATGAGGTTTAGCAACAAGTATAATGCAGCAATTAAGGGTACGAATAAAATGGCTTTTCCATGTAAACCAGGAAGTGACTTCTCCAGACAAAGGAATGTCTTTTCTTTCCTAATCTCTGTGGCTGTGATCTCCTGGGTGACGCAGATGCCATTAGGCAGTTGACTGTGCATGCATGCTCTGCCCATTTCTCTTCCACCACCCCCTCTGTGCAGACCCGGGCACTGCCAACCCACGCTACACCACTGATGTTGAGCGATCCCATTCTCCCCGGTGCATTTCCTCATCAGAAAGAGTCCAATTCCTTATTGCTTTTCTTATCACAAAAAGACCAATTTGGAGGGCGGGGGCAGGGTTGGGCAGACAGGCAGAGAGCAGGCATGTTGTGAATACAAACTTCAGTTGTGTGACCTGAGTTTGCTCCCATGTGATTGAATTCTTTAATTGCAGTTCCTTCCTGGCAGGGGGTCGGACTAGATGACCCCTCCAATTCTATGGTTTATTGAATCCCGTCTGAAAACTGACTGTCTGGAAGCACCTTTTGAAAAAAAGAAACCTGTGACTTTTCCCCTTGGATCACCCCTGCAATCCCGGAGGAGCAATTGACACGGCACTAGAAGAGCCAGGTTGTCCCGATGGCTTGGGGCACTGTCTCTCCTCTTCTTCATGACCTCAGGCTGAGCAGCCAAGAGAGACACGGCTCCCTTCCCAGGTCAGACGTCAGATTTTGCCCATCTGACAGGGCAACAGTCACCGCTTCATCATAGCCAGGAGAGCGGATGCTATAATTTGAGATGTTATAATTAACTGGGATTAAAACAGAACACATAATATGGCGTTATACGTAACTGAGCTGCATACTTCTGATTAGACTGTGTGGCATAGCAGACTAGGACATAGGAGAGACCAGGGTTTGAATCTTCCTCTCGGCCATAGAGCCTCCTAGGTGTAACCTTGTGGGCTAGTCACTCACTCACAGCCTACACTACCTTGCAGGGATGTTGTGGGGAGTGAAAGAAGAGGAGAACCAGTTAGGCCAGCTCCTTAGAGGAAAGATGGGATACAGATACAATGAACAAAAGAATAACGTATCTTAAGATCATTAATTTCAGTGGGTTAGCACTTCGTTCAATATAATCCAATATGTTCTGCACATCTATGGATCAGCAAATCTATCCATGTCAGTTTCTCTCCATTTCCCCCCCCCCATTTTTTCAGTCTTAAATTCAGCTTTGCACACTTCCACATCAATTTGCAGATTTTTAAAAGAATAAGCCTAAAGATCCACCAGCGTTTTGGCATGTACATTCCCTTAGCACATTCTTGCAGTTTTCCCTGACGTAACACATTTTGGGGTGCTGATTTCACTAATATGTCCAGTTTTATGCACAGTTCACCCCAGTACATACATTTCTGTACACGTTGCCCGGCTGGAAAGCTGCATTGCAAAATTCAGAGAAGTGTGAATTTTGAAGGACTGTTCTGTTTTGGTTCTCATATGGTTCCAGAATGTGCAAATTGGTTAGGCTCAAAATGCAAACTGAATCAAATCTCCCCAAACCTGTTCACAAATATGGCTGGTACCAGTGCTAGTTTCTGTTGATTCATTTTTCCAGAATGGAGCACGACTTTATTTGTAATTCCCATTATTTGTAATTCTGTTCATTTTTGGAGCAAAATTCTACAGCTAGACTGTTGGTGGGACAGACAGAAATTACACTGTCTGCCTATAGGTTACCCAGCCAGGTTTAGTTCATTAATTCGTGTGGTCCTTATCAACTTTGGTCCAAAATAATTTAAGGAACACCTGATTTCTTAAATCCCTGCCTGATCACTGTGATCTTTGGGGGAGTCCAGTGCATGGTTAATCTATGGAACTCACTCCTGCAGGAAGCAGTGATGCTTTGCCTCCACAGTTAGATGCAGGGATGCTTCTGAATCCAAGTTGCTGGAACCTGCAGGAGGGGAGAGGGCACTTGCGCCTGGGTCGTACTTGGGGGTTTCCTTTGGGGGCACCTGGTTGGCCACTGTGAGAACAAGATGCTGGGCTAGATGGGCCATTGGCCTGATCCAGCAGGCCTCATGTTATATCCTCATGTCTGTTCTAGTGTGTCCCCCACCCCATGGCTCAGATGCATATGTTGCTGTGCGTTCAGGCCCAAATGTGCAACTCCCTCCCACCTGATAGCAGGCAGGCAACCTTCTCTGTTGAACATCAACAGCTCCTCCAAGTGTCCCTATTTTCCAGGGGCAGTCCTGGATTTACAGAAGCTGTCCCGGTTTCTCATTCATGCATTCATTCATTCAGGGCGGTTCACAGAAAAGATCACAACATATATTAGAATAAAAACAACCACCCAATAGCACGCCCCACCCCTCCCAGAAAAGAGCCACATTTTAAAAGGGTATAGGATGTCAAACAGATCAACCAAGGGCCTGGTTAAAAAGGAACGTTTTTGCCTGGCGCCTAAAAGTGTGTAATGAAGGCACCAGGCGAACTTCCCTGGGGAGAGCATTCCACAGACGGAGAGCCACTGCAGAGAAGGCCCCGTTCTCATGTTGCCACCCTCCAGACCTCTTGAAGAGGAGGCACACAAAGGAGGGCCTCAGAAGATGATCTCAGGGTCTGGGTAGGTTCATATGGAAAGAGGCAGTTCTTGAGGCATTGCAGTCCTGAGCCATTTAAGGCTTTATAGGTCAAAACCAGCACTTTGAATTGGGCCCGGAAACTAAGTGGGAGCCAGTGGAGTCAGACCAGGATCGTTGCAATATGCTCAAACCATGATTTGATCCTGAAATGTCTCGCTTTTCCTTAGGACGTCCCTATTTTCATCGAAGAAATGTTGGGAGGCATGCATCAACTGCTTGATGATGACCAGCCAGCATTTTAAGTAAGTTGCACCACGCCTATTTTATGTTTGCATCTTTTAAAAACTCCTATTATTTTACTGTTGCATTGCTTTATTGCTTTACTTATCAGAGAGGCGTTTGTGGAGGGTTCCATCATTATATTCATTAGCTGCAGTTCCGGCATTGCAGGGGGCTGTACTAGATGACCCTCAAGGTCCCTCCACAAGCCTAGGATGCTTTTGGTTGTTGTTGTTTAGTCATTTAGTCGTGTCCGACTCTTTGTGACCCCATGGACCAGAGCACGCCAGGCACTCCTGTCTTCCACTGCCTCCCGCAGTTTGGTCAAACTCATGCTGGTAGCTTCGAGAACACTGTCCAACCATCTCATCCTCTGTCATCCCCTTCTCCTTGTGCCCTCCATCTTTCCCAACATCAGGGTCTTTTCCAGGGAGTCTTCTCCTCTCATGAGGTGGCCCAAGTATTGGCGCTTCAGCTTCACGATCTGTTCTTCCAGTGAGCACTCAGGACTGATTTCCTTAAGAATAGATAGGTTTGATCTTCTTGCAGTCCATGGGATGCTTTAGAAAGCAGAAAAAATGACAGCCTGTGACTAGATAGCCACCTGGCCATTGCTGCTATGGAAGAACTTGTTAAGGAGCAGGATGGTGGGGTCCCCATTTGTAGGGACTGCACTTCCTTTTCATCAGACCCACAACCAAATGCAGCGCCGCCACCCAGGATAGTTTAATCATCTCCTTAAGTTGCTAATTGCATGCATTAATTAGTATGCCAGCGTGCATAATTGCCGACTGACCTACGAAGCCTCACCAGCTAATTGCAGGCAATGAAAGGAGGAAGCAACAGCAAGTTCTTGTTTGTGGAAGGACTTATTTAATTAGTCTGATTGCATTGGCTATATGGTGTCGGGGTGTCTACATACCTCTGGCGCAAGGTCGCAGAGCCAGGGAAGACCACTGGGTGGCAGTGGGGAGAGAGGGAGAGAGAATATCCCCTCTGCACCTGAACTGCTTGGAATCTCTCCTCTAAAAAGGGAAGCGTTCGGGTTTTGCAGCAACAGTCCTACAGATATAGCTCTCCAGAATGGATAGCTGGGCGAAAAGAAATCGTACATGGTTAAGCGTCACCTCTAGATCCGCACCCTACATTTAAAACACATTCAACACACATTTAAAGCGCATGGCTTCCTCCAGAGAGTCCTGGGAACCATAGTTTGCTAAGGGCGCTGGGCATTGTGGCTCTGTGGGGAGGAAACAACAGTTTCCAGGATTTTGGGGGGTAAACTCATGTGCTTTAAACGTGCACAGAATTTTCCTTAAATGTGGATCTGCCCCACATCCCAAAGTAAAGTGCCCTCTTTCTTTCTCTTTCCCTCACCCCCACATTCCTTCTTCAGCTTGTGGCACTTCTTGTTCCCCAGCCAAATTGGAGATCAGAAGGTGAGAGCTTGAATCCCTAGCCTGGAGCGTCTCCAAGAATCCTGGAGAGCCCCTGTCAGTCAGTGTAGCTGGACCAAAGAGCTTGGCTTGGTATAACACAGCGCCCTATATTCTTACGTCTTAAGGAAAGGGCTGTAACTCAGTGGCAGAGCACCTGTTTGGCATGCAGAAGGTCCCAAGTCCCAGGTAGGGCTGGAAGGGGGCCCTGATGGACCATGGCCTAATTCTGTACGTGATTCATTAGATAGCTCCGTTAGTGGAGCATGAGACTCCTAATTACAAGGTCATGGGTTCGAGTCCCATGGGCAAAAATATTGCAGAGGTTTGAACTAGATGACCCTCGTGGTCCCTTCCAACTTTACAATTCTATGATTTCATGCATTCCTTAGGGTTCCCCCACCAGAACCCTCTAGAGTGATCAGAACAATCCATTCCCAGGCTATTTTCTATAATATGTATAATTAACTGAGGCATGT